TTGCTACCCGTTTTATTCTAATCTAACTGTTGAAGAAGCTCTTTCTGATGATCCTGTATGCTTTTGGAGCAAATTTGCACGAGAAATTCAGTCAAAATTTCCATCAGAAATAAATTCAACAAAGTGGGTGGCATTCATGTCCTGTACTCGTTACGAAAAGGTAGAAAATGAAAATGAAATTCCTACTAGCTATGAAGAAATGCAAAGCAGACTGTCAGGGTACTTCTCATTGGGTAATTGTTTTATTTTGTCCAACCGAATATACTTTCAGGGAGAGGTGGGCTGGCCCTTATGGGTTGCGCGACTCTGCATTTCTGGCCTGACAGCTTGGACTCTTTACTTTGCCACTTGACTGATTGCACTTTTATCGATGCTCGTGTATTTCCTAATGATACTGCGTATAGGTATTATTTAGCTGTTTAATAGCCTCAAGCTTTTATGAGATAACCCCTTGCCTTGTTTCTGCTCAGAAATACTCACTGGGCAGCCTTTGCTACTGGGCTAGGGGCAGTTTGGCACGAGTTAGGTCACTGCTTCGGTCTCGAGCATACAACTTCAGGTATAATGCACAGAGCTGACGATCTTCATTTATGTCTTGGCTTTCCTCCTCTTGATTCATTTTGTCGGAAGTGCAGTAATCTTAAAGTAAATAATTCGTCTGACGAAAATCGTTTACTGATGATGGACGAACTAGATCCTTCATGCCAGCATGAGTGGGTGAGATTACGGTTTTAATCGGTGGCTAGATATTTTAACAATATTTTAAAGTTCATTTATTTTAAAAGCTCAAGCCCCCGAGCCCCTTGCCATCCGTACTTCAATTTAGCTCAATTGTGTGCATCAGTGAAAAGCTTACCGCTTCTACTGTCTCGGATCGATTTTGGGCTACTTGCTATTCACTATGGCATCAGGGCGAGACTTATTGGGGTGCCTCAATCGCAAAACAACTTTCTACTAATCCGTAAGTAAAAAAATAGTTGCAGTTTAAAAAAATGAAAATAGCTTTAAGTAATTTAATAATTTCACTTTTTAGATGGTTACAAAGTAACTAGTCTTCTGTCCTGTTCGGCGATGAAAATGTTCTCTACTCTTTACATTGTCAAATTTGCCTGAGCAGGATTTCTTGGGTTCTGTATTTTTCATATAAAGAGGAAGTTTCCTGGGTCGTATCTACCTCTGAGTGATCACCTTGCGTGCGATTAGTCTCCTTTGCGAAAGCTCATTGCCTTGGCTTAATCTTTTAACTACAGAATAATGGTACAATAAAATGTATTTGATAACTCAACTGATTTTGGATTATGAATCTTTGGTTTTTCTTCTATTTTTTATTCATCTCGTGGTTATTTTCGTACCTCTAAGTTGTAAGACTATTTTTTGCATTTTTGGGTTTCTTAATATGGGTTATGGAAATATAGGTTATCTGACATTATTTTTAAACAAAAGGTCTTAACTTTAAACAAATTTGTGTTAGAATTATGATCTTCTAGGCTCATG